TTCACATGCCCCTAGTGGGACCCTATACGAGATGTGGTGACAACATATGTGCACAACCTCTATGTACTCACATATCTATAGTTCTCACATATGTACATGGGCTAACAAAGAGATAATAATAAATATATTACATGTAATGTATATGCTTTTGTGATATAAATTGTATTATATGCTTTATATGATGATGTGTGTATTGCTTGATTAAATAAGTCATATGTTGATTAAAAAGGTTAGGTATAAAAGGACATGATTATAAGGTATAAATGAAAATAATATGTGATATGTATATGTGTACATTACATTATGTATATAATGTTATATTGTTTTGTGTGGCATCATGAGATGATATATTCATACAGGTTTAAATAGATATAGTTTCTTTTATAAGTTTAATGCCTCACTAAGTCATAGACTTTGTGTGTGAGTGTTTCACACGTAGGTTCTGGAATGCAAGAAGAGAAACGAAGAAGAGCAAGACAGGTCAGATTTTCCTTACCACAAATCATATCAGAAAAGAAATGATTAGTATGCATTTGGTTTAATGTATATAGTTGCCATGTAATTAAGAGATTTGAATAGTTTACGCTCTGATATGTTTTGTAAATTAATTATTTTTAATAAATTTGAAATTCTTCATACTTTTGTAAAAGTGATTGTTTGAAAAGTCAATGTGACACCTCAGACTCGGATCCGGGTCGAATACGGGTTAGGGGTGTTACAGTATCAGATCACACTAATTCGATCAAGCAATGCTTTCCACGCCCATTCTATAAATCGTTGTTCTTGAAAATATTCAAATAACATATAAAAGATATGATGAAAATAAATGCAATTTGAAACGTAAAATATCTACGACAAATAAAGATAATAAGATTTACTTAATATAATAAATATATATATATATAATATGTAAAATATATTCATATATAAAGGACTAAAATAAAAACAAATGAACATTACAAATTAAAATACAAACAATAAAAATAAACATATATGATGATTTCAGGGACCAAAATAGTACTAACAAAAACTTGAAGGATCTAACAGCAATTATGAACAAACCAGAGCCATAATCGAACATTTTAAACAAACATATGTACCAAAAACGAAAATAACCCTTAAATAATGTTAAGGGCTAAAATAACTCAACCATAAACATGAAAGGAAAAATAACAATTAAGCCTAAATACAACAATATGCAAAGCAGTGACTAAATTGAAATAATTGCAAATATCTTGACCAAAGTCAAACATTAACAAGAATGACATAATATATAAGAACATGACTAAAACACAAATATTGAAATATAAGTGCTCGAAACAAAATAAGGTAAAACTTCATTAAATGGTTGAAAAGTAAGATTACAAAGTTAGAGAGACCTACATTGTGATTTACCCCCAAAAAATGAAAAACACGGGTGAGATTACAAAGTAACAAGAACCAAACCGGATATTAACCCATGCGCTAAAAACATGCTGAACCCTCTTTAAAACGACATCACATTGCTAGCCAAATATAAGACCAAATAATAGGCCAAAATTCGACCAAACATTCTATTTGTTTCATTTCTTCTTTAGCCTAGGGGAGAGGTGAGAAAATTCTCTCAACTCTCTCCTCCCCCTTCTTGGTACTCCCCGTCGAACAAAGCAAACTAAAGCCCCGACCACCGTAAATAGGTGGCCACGGGGTTAAAACACTCGATGAGAGCCTCTCAAAACCCAACCCCTTACAACCGAGCCCCTAAATTCGACCCCTCAAGCAACGAAAATCAAAGCCTAACCTTAAAGGTATGATTTTTACCTACATTTGTGGCTTTAAAGGCTCCGGTGAAGCTATCAAAGGACAGATCTTGCTAAGGGTAAACCTTTCTTCTATGTTTTTTCTTTTTTGTTTGTTTTGTTTTGTTTTTTAGAATCTGGTCTCTCCCTATATGATTTTTTTTCTGTTTTTCTACCCTGGTTTTTTCTTCTTCGTTTCTTTTCTCTCTCTCTGAATCCCCTCTGAATCTCCCTTTGTTTGTTGCTTCCTCTGCTTTTATCTACTTGCATGTGTGATTGACAAAATATGATTTGCTTTGAATTTGTTTTCATTTTTTATTGGGATTTTTTCTTTGAGTTGATCTTTGATTGATTTGGTGTAGGTTCGATCATTATTGATGAAGATGACGGCTCGAGATCTTTCGGCAGTGGCTCACGCAACTGGGGTGATGGTCGATGAAACGCACGCGCCGGTCTGGGGAGCTGAAGAGTTTGACGGTGGTGGCTGTTGATATTTAGGGTTTAAAAACCCTAACCCTTGGGTGATCTGGACCATTGATTTGGGTCCAGATCCAACGGTTGGTGTTGGTGCGACTTGGGCTAATGGGTGAAAACCCTAGTGGGTTGAGTGTTGGGTCTGGACCGGGTCAGATCTTGGGCCTCGGGTCTGAGCTCCAGTTGGGTTCTAGTGGGTTGGGTTGCTGTTGTAATTTGGGCTTCAAATTGAGCCTGCAAAAAAAATGTAAAATGTAAGAGATATTATTATTAATAATAATAACAATAAAGTAAAATCTGGATAAAAACGGGTGTCTACATGGTCTATATATACTAAACGAAACTCAGTCGACTTGACAAAATGTTGAATCCCAGTCCCCGAGTCATCAACAACCATGGCTATCGAGGCAACTTTCATTCTAAGCTCAATCGAATTGAGAATTCTTCTTCTTCTTTTTTGTTATAACAATCACCAATTTAAATATCAGTACGTTATAAGCGCAATGACTGTAATAATATTTGTTATGTTTGTCATTGTAATAAACGTTGCGACTGCAACCGTAACTTAAATCTTTAATATTGAAAAAGAATGATTGATATTGGTTTTTTTCTTTCCAAAATACAAACAATAGGCTTGGTTTAACAATCCCTCTGCCGCCCAACCATAAACACTTGATAATATTATTGGTAAATCCAAGAAATCTATCAACATCAAATTTAGTGATATACGACCGTATTTATATACTCTGTTTGGCTACAAATAATTATGATTATTCTAGGCCTGACATCATTCAACACTGAATTTCAATACATAAACCTCTTGTAAGACTGAAAGGAGGATTGAACTTTTTAGATTCATCTTCTTCTTCATTCTTCTTTCCTCAACAAAATATCTCGTGCATTCTTTTAAAAAAGAATATCAATTACAACTCACCATTTAAATTAAAATGAGTGAACCGTCTATGATCGTAACGACCACAGGCTTCCCATCAACCATAATAATATGTTGCTTAGTTTTCTATGTATGCTTTGCCTAATTTCCTTATCTTTTGTTCTATTTGAGTGGATTTTGAGGTATGTGATGGGAATTAGAAAGCATGTTCCTTATTTCTTTAATGGGGAAAGGGATTCCAATCTGGTTATTGTTTGCAATAACCTTGAGTTATCTTGAATATTCATTTTCTCTATGTATTTGTCTGACGTATGTCTTATTTGTATTCGGACATGTGTACACAGAAATATACTCATATCGGGCATATATCTATATCCAACACTAATACGTAGGTCCTGTTATTATGTGTAATAATAATACATAGGACCTTCGTTTGAAAAGTCATACTCTGTCGTATATGTAGGATTTGCTTGATTTATGCCCAGAGAAAGTTGCTAACTATGAGGAGAAGCTGAGGAACTTTTACACCGAGCACATGCATGCCGACGAAGAGATATCTACTGCTTGGAAGGCAGCGGATATTTCGATGTTAGGGACAAGGATGACCGATGGATTCGGATTTGGATCCGAGCAGGCAACCATATAGTACTGCCTCCTGGAATCTACCAGAGGTTCACTCTCGATACTAGCAACTATGTCAAGGTAAGAATCTCATTGTTTAGAATGCAGGGAACTCGATATATAATCGAATTACGTATGCCTCGCACCTGTATTCGATTGAATTTATGTGTTTACAGTGTGCAGTTGATGAGGTTGTTTGTGGGAGAACCGGTTTGGACAGCATATAACCGGCCGCAGGAGGATCACCCTGCAGCCTGCAGGGAAAGAGTACACTAAAAATTGGAGTGAGAGAGTTGGGGCTTCTTACCACTTGTAGTTATGCTGTTATGTCTCTGCATATATAACTTGATAAAACTTAATGTAGCTGTATATCAAACACTGAACTCCATCTAGTAATATGTTCCAGTACACTGAAATTAGTGCATTTTATGATAATAGTTTGTAGGGCAATCTACTCAATATTATTGAACTTTAGCTTGTTTTCTATAGCTTTTATCGCTGAATTTTAAATTGTTTCTATTTTAATATTGAAATTTGCTATTGCTTTAATTTTAATAATGAATTTTATTTTAGTTACAATGTGAGTATTAGTTTACGTATCAATTTGATCCTTATAGAAAGTCTTTGCTCTTTTGATAGTCATTGGTGGTGTCGTCAATCGTCATTCGCTATAAGATCAGTATTAAAACGTTTTTATTTCACTTACCCTTCTTCCCAAACTGATTTTCTATCAAACCCACTCAAAATAAAAAAAAGATGCATTTAAAAGGTTCATTATTCTAATGATCCAATACATTTAAAAGGTTCATTATTCTAATGATCCAATACATTTAAAAGGTTCATTATTCTAATGATCCAATCTTCTCCTATAGTTATAAGATGAAATTAGTTTTAAGGTACGTTGTTAATTTCAAAAGAAAAGATCTCATTCATATTTTAAATCAAACGGTCCAAGACCTTAAATCCAAGAAAGTCTTATAACCTCATAACGATATATTTTTTTTAATTTTGTAAATTTTAAAGAGATATTTGAAAAGTCTAAACAGATAAAATGATAGAGGACCGTGAGACAAGTTCATCAAGACACCAAAGAATGACTAAAGTAGAAAAAAAAGTCTAACTTCGATGAATAAAAAGATGAGGTGAAATAAATAAAAATGGCTTCTAAATCAACACCAAACTTAATTATGATTAAAGTAGAAAAGAAGTAATAGGTTATTACTAAAATACACCCTAAAAAATAATAGAATCATAACAAGTTTCACACTAGCTAGAGTTGAGAGAACAATTTAAAACCTGAACAAGTTTTTATGAACCTTCAATACAAGTCTGCATGTCAAAGAAATTCTGCCCTCAGTTCTATTCACAACCTTGGTATCTTCACTTCTAATCACTTCAGCATCTCTCGAGGCTGACCTCGACAAAGCTTCATTTTCATTTACAACCTGAAAACAGAACCGCGAGAATACGAATACTTGGCTATAAATATTTGTTTATGGATACATCTGAGAAAATTATTAGAGACAAAAGTTTACTTTCACCTTAACCAGTTGATGTACCACGTTATCTTCGATACCATGCAAGTAATCTGTAGTCATAATAATAGAACAAGTAAAAAGACAAATCCCATATACAATCAACCTAAAGCAGCCTATGACATTTAACTTTCCTGAATATGCATCATCCTTGAAGATCAATAAACTGCGGGGCATCAACAGGACAGAAAAGGGTTGATGTTTTTCTGCCCCATTATCATCCGTTGATGTTCTTCTGCATGAATCTAATCTTGAATGAGGAGTGAAGTCCATAACAACAGGTGATCCTAGAGACAGAATTGCCACGACAGGATAATAAGCTGGTCCATCCTGGTGTGGCTGTAAGACAGATAATTTCAGTACAAAAAATCGATATCGACCAGAAAGATATTTTCCTTTCTAATCCCATAATAAAATATGTTACCAAGAAACTGACACAGCACTATGATACTCATTTACTACCAACGAAAAATGAGATATCCAAGAATAAAACAAGAAAAAAGTTGATGCAAACCATTATTCCTTGGTTTGGAAGGTATTCATTGATAAGAACATGGTTGATTGCAGAAGGAAAAAGTCCTGATTCTTCACGTATTCTTTCTGTAATCTTAGATAGCCAAGGTGGCACTACAAAGAACAATCCACAAGGGAGGCATGTGGTTAAACTAGACACAAAGAATAAAAAAGACGATCATGTATGTAATAACAACAGAAACCACTAGACTGAAAGCCTATCCGAAAAGGGGAAAACGAAAAAGCAGAAAACCATGATCTGGGGTTTAGAATGGGAGTAAAAGGGTGCAAATAATCTCACTTACAATCTTGTGTCAGAAGACCCTTTTCATGAACAACACCGCCTTTCAATTTCAATAAAATAGAACACATTCAATCAGAAGAAGAAACAAAGATTCTAAAAATGAATTATGCTACAAGTATTTCAACAAACCCAAATTCTGTAGTCTTCTATTCTTCAAAGATTTCCACTTTGAAACAGGTGCTTGGTAAATCTATATGTGTCAATAGAAAATGGGATCAACAAATTTAGGTTTGGAACAATCTTAAAGAGAAAAGAGAGAAAGTAAAAATCATAAATACATTATTTAGGAGCTGAGCTTGCTCGGAATCCGTGATGAAATCGGGGATGTAAAATAATGTTGGCAAGTCCCCAACAATGAAGTTATTCAAATTTTCTTTTCTCTCCATTCCCCTGCAATAGCCATTGCTAGGAGTTAAAATAACATCCGGAAATCAGCCAAAAGCAAAACTAACACAAAGCAGAAACCGGGGGTTTAAATAGCGGATATGACCGCAATTGCGATAAACATGACCACAACCGCAATTAAACTGTCTGGAAGAAACCTCTTAGGCTGATCGGATCGGATTGTAATCGGTTAGTGTTTTTGGTTACAGATTCCAGTGAAAACTGGTGCAAACTCACAAAGCAAGAAACGAATCCAAGTTCCAGATAAATAAGTGCCAAACTCAGAATTAAAAACAGAATTCCAATAGCATAATATAAGTGGTTAAACAATGCTATTGCTATTACATGATTATTACTAATTCAAAGAAAATCACGATGAAAAAAATAAAGTTACGATCTCATTCAATTTTGCTTACTTCACCGTTCAAAATAATAAAAACAATGTAAATAAATACGAACAAAGAAGGAATTAGATGTACAGAATACCAACGCTATCACACGAGGGGGGGGGGAAATAACAGCGAAGAAAAGAGGATGAGGAATAAAAGTGCAAAAAACCTGACTAATTCAAGGGTGAGAGAAACGGCGGGCGATGAGAGAAATGAAAACGGCGGGCGGCGAGGCGGGCGATGAGAGAAACGAAAACGGCGGTCGGCGACTGGGGATGAGAGAAACGGCGATGCTGAGGCAGTGATATTTCTATACTTTTGCTTTAATTGAAGGGTTAATAGAGCATTTGAAACATCTGTTTGACTTCAATGTTTAATGTGGTACTGAAAGTTTTTTTTTTTTTAATTTGATACTTGAGTTTGGTTTAATATTTAGTTTGATACGAAAGTTTTTTTTTTCCAATTTGATACTTGAAGTTTTCTCTTTGTTCTAATTATATACCTTAGCTGGTTTCAATGCTCGATTTGATACCTGAGTTTTCTTTTTAACTTAAATAAAAACGTGTGACTTTTATTTTGATATAATAAAGAGGTACTTTTTAATTTATTTTATACCATTTTTCTATTAATTTTATGTATTTTGATATTTTTTAATAAATATCACTCAAATTAAATAGATATACGACTATTAAGTTAATGATTAAGTTGATTTCATTAATTAATTATATATCAATTTAATTAAAAATATATTAAAATATTATTTCTTTTAAATAATTTCAACTTAATCGGCGTTGTTGATTTGAAAGAGGCCTCGTTCAGGATAGATGTGTTTAATTTTTTTTGATCTAATTGATCCGATCTTCCTTTAAAATTTTAAATATCCTATATGTTTTTAAATTTTTGAATAATTTTGGTTAGATATCTCAAAAAAATTGGATAATTAAATCAGATATGGATCGTTAAATTCTAATTTCAATTTATCTAAAAATTTGAATATCTAAAAAATTAAATATGAAATTTTTATAAAATTTGTGACTTGGTATATCATACTTTGTCCTTATAACACATTTTTTTTCTCTATCCAAGTGATACATATTTAGGGCTTTGCCTTGTGATTTCTGAGTCGATTCAACTTCGACTGAAGTAAAAGTGGAAATTCATAAAATTATTTGTCTATATATGGAATATATATAATCGAGTTTACGAGTAAATAAATATATATATAATAGAGGTATAAAATATGTCATAAAAACACATATATAAAATTTAAATATGAAATTTTATCAAATTAAATTTATACTCGGATCTAAATATTTGAATATCTAATTTAAAAAATCAGATATCTAATTTTTTTAATAAAACAGAAATCATAATTTTAATATTTTAAATTTTTTTAATCAGATACAAGTCACAATTTTAATGATGTAATTTTTTAAATATCTAAAATTTCAAATAGAATAATATTAAAAAATGAACGCCCCTAATTAAATACAGTTCCCCGTTTTGGAGAGTGGGAATCTTGTGGCTCCAATTATGGAGAGACAGACAACACCTTACTGTATATGATTAAAATACTTTTTATATATTCGATAATTATATTAATTTTTTTTATTAAATTTGAAATTGAATCAAATTAAATCTTTAAATAAAAAATAAATAAATAAATATTTATATAATTTAAATGTAAACATTTGCTTCAGAAATATTAATTTTTCGCGTAAAGTACACAAATTGTCATCGGACTATTGGACGTTATTTTATTGAGTCCCTGTGATTATTAAACGTTACAAAATAGTCACATAACTATTTATATGTTTTAAACTCGTCGTTTTTCGTTAAAAAATTGACGGCAATTTGAGCTTGTCGTTAACCTTCTGATCAAGATATACAAAAATTTAATCTCAAAATCTTAAACAACTATCATATTTCAGTAAGTATGTTAATGTCCAAATCAGATAATCATCATTTTTAACTAAAAAAAGGATGAGTTCAGAACATAAAAATAGTTGAGTGACCATTTTATAATTTGTAATAATTTAAGTACTCAACAAAATAATATTATATAGTTAGATGACCATTTTATAACTTAATAAAAAATTCAACAAAACAACGCAGGAATATTTGTATTTAATAATCAATCTTATAGAGATCAGCATAAAAAAGAAGGATTGAGAAGTTAGCAACCTGACTTAAAATTTCTCTCAAGGGATTGGATGTGTCGGGCATATTCGGAGAAGTTCTACACTAAACTAAAACAATTGTTTAAAGGTATTGTTTTATATATTTATTATCTTAGCCCAAGCTCCATCCCTAATCAACAACTTTTTTTTTTTTTTGGATAAACCAGAATTTTATTACCCAAAATAGAAAAATTGTGCTACAACCAAAACCAATCAGCAGACTGAAACAAAATGAACAAGATACAAAAAAACCAGTGATTGGTTATACAATTCCCCAAGCATTACAAAGGGAAAAATTAGTGCAGTTTAGTCTATTAATAGGTTTCCCCCTAAGATGTATACTAACAACTTCGATAATTTCCTTAAGCAAATTGTCAGCAGTACGCGATCGGCCTTGGTACATTCTACGATTTCGTTCTTGCCACAGGAAGTAAATAAAAGCATTCCAAGAAATTTTCAAGATTGTGGTAGTAAGGGATTTCCCTTTCCACGTTAAGCACGCCCGAGAGACCATTGCTTCCCAAGTCAGAGCTGTGAAGGTCATTCCATTCAGTAGAAGAATAGATTTCCAAAGATTGACAGCCATGGGACAAATGGAAAACAGGTGATCCCTTGTTTCATTACAGTTTCTGCAATTTACACAAATAGCAGCAGTATTTATTTCCATTTTTTGTAGCCGATCACTGGTAGGTAACCTGTTCAAAATGGCCATCCAAAACGATCAGGCTATGCTTTGGTATATGCATAGGATACCAAATGAGCTTGTGCCATTCAACTTTGGCCGCTGCATCCGAATCTTGTCCCAAATATCATTGATGTGCAGTATGCCTGAAGTAATCAGAGGAAAAGCGATGGTCCTCATTTTGAGAATTCGGTTGATACAACAGCTGTTATTTCTCCCAGCTTCAAACTGCCAAAAGTTTTGGTGCTTAAAAACGTAATTATGGAGCCATGCCACCCAAAGAGAACCTTCGCCTGTATCATCTAATCGGTCCATATATGTATAATTATGAGTTTAATACGAATCAAAAGATAACGGTGGTAAAAGAATTGTTGTTATCCCTTGATGTCTCGGGTTCGTACATTAAAAATGCAAAAATATTTTATTAACTTTAATACCAAGTAAAAAAATATATCATTTAATAATTAAATTTAATATAAATAAAGTGATTTTAGTAGTCAATATATTCTTGTTATCTTTAAAGATCTTGGGTTCAAATATGACGTCTGCAAGAATATTTGAACGTTTATTATTAAATAGTTAAAAATATTTTGAATAGATACTACCTTATAGTCATCCCAAACTAATATAAAATAATTAAATTTAAAATTTTATAATATAATATTTTTATTTTTATTCAGTAGTCTGGAGTAATTATAAGATAATATATGTTCAAAAATAATTCTTAGTCATTGACAATACCCACACCCTATAAACACAACTTAAACTCGAAACATTTAAGAGAACAAAACTCTCTTTAATTACTAAGATCATTAAATATTTAATTTAAATATCATATTGGATATATATACATTATTAAAATATTATCAATAATGTATTGAGATAAAAAAAACTTATATAATATGTGAGTGGTAATTTACATAACATATCATCAAATTAATTTTTATATAGGTCACAAATCTTAAATTTAACCGATCCATCATTTAATCTTAATTTTTTAACAGATTAAATTATTTATATTACAATCATTAAATTGTTTAAGTGGAAACTTAATTAAGTCATCATTTCTATTTTACATGTATAAAAATGGAGGTTAAATTCAGTCGATTATAATATAATGAGTAATTGCATTATACGTCTTTAAACTATGATATATATTTTAAATTAGTCTCTCAATAGTTATTTATTTCAATTTTATCCTTAAACTATGACATTCATTCTGAATTAATTCTCAAACTTTTGAATATTTTAATTTCATCCCAAACATTTGAATGATTTTGGGGGCAAAACTGGGATGTTTAAAAGTTTTGGGAATATTTTAGAATAAAGAGCGTAGTTTGAGGATGGGTTTGAAACTTTTAGAAGTTTAAGGATCAATTTAAAATGAAAATTATAGTTTGGGAATGAAATTAAAATGTTAAAAAATATAAGGACCAATTCAGATTGCATATTAATGTTGTAAATTATAATCTAACCACACAAAAGATAACTCCATAACATCTTACAAAGGATGCCAAAATTGCAAGGTCCTTGAGAGTTTTTCATTAGATTTTACTTTCCAAAAGGAGTATCTTATGGTGGGGAAGAGAGCAGAGAATATCTAATTGCCAGTACATCATCAACCAGTCTCCCCAACAACCAAAAGCAAAAGAAATGAGTGAATATATTGAATAATCAATTTTTATTTATAAAAATTCCATTTATTTAACCTAATGATACCCATGTTCACAGATCTGTGTCTTCTTTCTAAACTCTTCCAGATTGTGTTCTTTTCCTGTTCCCTTTGTGTTTCAATACCGGTTTGAACTTTTGGGGTCCATCCATGGCGTGTATCTAATCTCGGTGCTTCACTTTTCTTCTTGTTCTTAATCTGCAATCAACTAACCCAGAATCCCAGATCAAAATTTCTTTCGTTTTCTTGGTTCCGAGCAAGAAGATGGACTCGTATGGAAGAGTTAAACAAGAGTTTCCAGGAGCTTGAAGCTCGTCTTCTTCCACAGCTTGTATCTAATTTAATCTGCAAATCAACTGACCCAGAATCCCAGATCAAGCTCTCGTTTGTTTTCTTGGTTCCGAGCAAGAAGATGAACCCTTATGGAAGAGTTAAACAAGGGTTTCCAGGAGCTTCAAGCTCATCTTCTTCCACGGAAGCTACAGCTACTACACCTCAACCAATGGAAGGTCTCCATGATGCAGGTCCTCCTCCTTTCCTCACCAAAACATATGATATCATCGATAATTTAGGTTCGGATCACATTATTTCTTGGAGTAGAAGCAACAATAGCTTCATTGTTTGGGATCCCCAAGCATTTTCCATGACCCTTTTGCCTAGATTCTTCAAGCACAATAATTTCTCAAGCTTTGTCAGGCAGCTAAATACCTATGTAAGTACTAAGTACTCTCTCATGATTCGAAACAGTATAATAAATAAGTCTTTATATATGTGGTTTACTGATTTAGGTTCATTGATTTTGCTTTTTTAGGGGTTTAGAAAA